TTACCTATGTAGTTCCCGAAGGTGTGTATATAAACATATATATAKGTGCATATAGGTATATTCCCGATTCCCGGGACGTCGCGGCCGCCCTCACCTCCCGCCCGCCCGGCGCTCCCGGCAGGCGCCGCTAGGGGCCGCTGTGGGCGGCGGCGCAGCCGTTAACGGCCGCCGGCGCTCGCGCCTACCCGAGCCGGAGCCGGAGCCGCGCGGGGTTGCCGCGCGCTAGGCCGCGCCGCCGCACGCACACGGAGTTCCCTTCCTGCCGGCGCCAGGCCGGGCGGCAGCAGCGGCAGCAGCCGGAGGAGAACAAGGAGGAGGAGGAGCGGCCACGGGCGCCGTGAGGAAGCCGCAGCCAGGAGCCATGTCTGCGCCCGCCGGCATGCCGCCGCGGCCCTCGGCCGGCGCCGCTGCCGCCGTCTACGCGGGCGGCCCCGTGGAGGCCGCGGCGCCGCAGCCCGCCGCGCTCCGCCGCCACAACGGTGAGGGGCGGCGGGAGGCCGGGGCGGGGGGACGGGGAAAGGGCGGGGGGGAGAGGAGACAGGGGGGCTCCGGCCTCCCTGCCCGCGGCGGCGGCGGCCGGACCCGCGGCGCCGGTTACCCTCTGCTCCCCGGGGCCGCTCGGAGCCCGGGTAACTTCGGAGAGTGCGTAATCTCCCCCAGCCTGGCGCGCCATTTGTGGGTTTTTTTTTTTTTTTTTTTTTGGCCTTTTTTTTCTTAGTTTATTTTTTAGGTTTTTATTTTATTTCATTTTGTTACTTTCCTCCGGTAATAACGGGCCAGAAGATTTTTCAGGGGCCCTCTCGCTTGGGCACTGCTTTCCGGTAAAGCCCCGCGGATGCGAGGCGCTTGGAGGCCTCGCTGTGCGCGCCGTGTCCTCCGGGAGACGAGAGCGCTGTTTGTGAAGTTGGGCGAAGTGGGTGGCGGGCGCCGGGGCCGCGCAGGCAGGGCTGCAGCGGGGCCGCTCCCGGCGCCGGGCCCCGGGAGTCGGGCTCGCTGCTGCCCGCGGTCTGGGAACTGCAGAATAGCCACTTGGCTTTGCACGTTCCACCCTCTTGAAGGCTCGTGAGGATATACTGAAACTAAATGCGCTGGGAATTGCAATTGGTGAGGTGTAGCTTCAGCTCCCTGTTACTGCAGTTACTTTTCAGTGTACTTGTATCATGTCTGTGCCCCCTGTAGCGTTCCCGGGGTGTTCGAGTTAGGCCTCTGGGTTGCATTGAGCGGTAGCTTGTGTCCTGGAGGCCTCTGTTTCATGCTCTGCTGTTGTGTGCTTTACAAGGAGCAGCGGGCACCGTCAGGACCCGCACGCCTCGAGTTTTGCCTTATCCATGGGGGTGGTCGTTGGCCACTTACATGTCTATAAAATAGCTTTGGAGCCGGTTTGCAGACAATATGGGAGGCACTGGCATAAGCAAAAGGGAAGGTAAGTAGAGGGTGGCTTTTAGGGAGAGGCTAGTGCTTCAGCTGTGTGCCACAAATGCTAGGATTGTAATACAGAGGATGAAATCATTCATGAAATACTGATATAAATGTTTTTTAATAAAAAGCAGTATATTTTCAAGGCACCAGGAACCGGGAACTTACTTCACAGAAATAAATAAAAAATAAAATCATGCATTCTCATTCTGTTTTTAACTGAATCGTACATACATTATAAGCAGCTCTTATTAGTTGAACCATTGGTTCCTTGGTACCTGTAGTTTGTGCACTGGTGTTACAATATGTTTTAAAYTTTGTGGAAGATCTATTTCCTCCCCCTCATATGGATTTTTTTATGTGTTTTGAGAGATTCATACAGCATTCAGTAATAGTCTTGTGTTTTTCCTGAACACCTTGCTTTGCTAAGTATCAAACTCTTTAGCTTAACATTGTCTTACAGTAATATATATATATATATATAAAAATATGGTTGTTTTGGTGTTTGTTTGTTTTTTTTTTTAGTCTAGAAAACTCTGAATTTCTCATTTGATGTGATTTAGCAAGTAGCACACCAAAACTTTAGAACAATGTAACTGTCGTCTTTACCAATTTGTAAAGTTTTAATGTAAGATTTGGGACTTTTTTTCTTTTCTTTTAAAATAGAAGGAACTATAAATAGGAATACTACCAGAAAAAGACTTTAGTGGAAGTTTCCATGCTGTCAGGTAGAAACTAAATTTTACCAAGTCAACTGTCATCTCTTTTCGTGGTTAATTTTACATAAGTGTAATATAAGGTACTGCAATTGGTACAGCTGCTGCCATGTTGGTTGCAATTCACACTGAAAAGTGTGCTTTTAGCTGCACAGAATTATATATAATTTATGTGTATATTGCATTTCATAAAATGTTCCAATACAAATTTGGCTTTTGAATTTATTGGAATCTGATGAAAGAACAACTTTTTTTTTAAGAATTTAACCTTTTGTCTGTATAGTGCTTTGAAAAGGATACTTGGCTGTGTGTCTTTATTAGAATTTGCTAGTGGTTTAGTGACCAAGGTCATTTGATATTTTGGGGGAATTCAGCATTAGTATAACTTGAAGGATTTTTGGGGAAAGAAAAAAAAAAAAAAAAAAAAAGAACATCTTGTTTCGTTTTAGATTTTTTACTTTTTTCTTTTTCCTCTCTCTCAGTGCTCCTACTTTGATCTTGCCTATGCTGAAATCCAGTGTTTAAAGAAAGAAGATCTAATAGGCTTTTTTTTGATTGGAAAGTCTGAGACTTTCCAATACAGTACTCTGAACAAAGTGTTAAAAGTCTGAAAGATTGTTATTGCTGTAGTATTGAAGATAGCTTTGTATATAAATGGAGAATGGCTTATTTTCTAATGTCAGTGTATTAAAATATTGGTTATTAAATCATTGCTAAAAATGACGCATTTTTTCCCCATAACCATAAAGAATTTTAGTGATAACAATATCATACACTGAAACTTCCAGCACTGAGAGAACTGTATTAAATTCTCATCTTTCCGTGTAAGACTGCATATGTGTATGTGTATATTGCTTGCAAATGATTCTTCAGATGTCTCTTGTACCTTGTACAAGGTACTTTGTACCTTGTAGCTTTTGTAGCTGCCATTTCATTGCAAAGTTATTTAGTTTCTCAGGAAATGATACTAACTGTGATTCCTTCCATTCGTTACCTTTTTTTTCTGTGTTTTCTTGTTCTAACTTAGGGTCTGTTGGATAGTCAGTTACATTCGATGAAGGGACAGGTTCTTAAAGATACAAAATCCTGAGAAGCAAGAAATTCCTACATGCTTTATGAAAATAGGAAGTTGGGTGAATAGAGAAAGTTGGCAGTAATTCCATCACCGAAGTGCTGTGAGAGTTCAACAGTGACTCTGTTTGTGGGGTTTAAGGACGTGCAAGGACACACATCACTTCCGTAGTGCTGCTCTGCTTCTCCATCCCATAAGTGATACATAAGGGAGTAGTGGTAGGGGAATAAAGACATGCTGTAAGTTGTGGAAAGGTAACAAGTAATCAGGGCTAGGAAGGAGGATCATGTGCGCTTCACTAATTGCTATTAGTATTGGTGTAACCATTGATCAAATGTGGTGGCTCTTTTGCCAGATAAAGGGATGCTGCTTTTTGGCTACATCACGACTTCTCTTTTTAGAATCATGTAGACTCCATCCATGGAGTCTACTATCTGGCTCCTGAACCAGTTTCTGAATTATACCTTTCTGTTAGTTTATTCAGAATATTGTAGAAGAGCATATGCACTGATTTTTACAGATTAAGTCTTTTTTTTCATGTCACTTTTAGTGACAAAACTGCTTAAAGTGGTTTGTCAAGACAGTCATATTTATAGATTATTGGTCTATTTTGATACTGTTCTCTCAGACCTTCAAAAAAACAGGTCGAGAGCCTGTTAAAGTTTGCTGTAAGCATAACTTGGCTCCCCAGTCCAAAGCCATTTTCTTTAAAATGAAAAAAAAAAAAAACCCAAAACTGTGGTACCTCATGAAGCAGCTCCTACTTTTGCAAGGAAATAGTGAATCAGCAAAGAATTACTTATTCTCAGTAGTGTTAACATGTCAGTCTTTTCTGTATTTTTTCATAGCCTTACTTTTTTTTYCCCCCCCAATTGCCTTTCTGTTTTTTTGCCTGAACGGTCCAGTTTACTTGTGTTCAGTTATGACCTGCTTTTTCTCAGACTCAACTTTGTGTTGTAATTTGTGAAATGGACTTTTCAGTTTTATGCAAAACCTGTTTTATACAGTATGTYCCTTTCTAAAAGGATTCTGTTCATGTTAAAATTGCTTATGGAAGTTAATTGGAGAAAATCTGGGTGTTACCTTGAGATAATTCTAACTGCTAAATGTTGATGATATAATATGGTATCATAAATGTAAGGAGACAAATCAACGGTTAGTTTCACAGAGAGGCTGTAATTTGTGAATGGCCACATCATGTTGTGTTTCTATTCATAACATAGTAATGTAGCATGATGTAAACAGTGGGATGTGGTAGTTTGAGAGGAAATTATGCAGAGAAACGTAGATATGGTTCACAACTTACCATCAAAGGTCAGTTAATATTTACAAAAAAAAAAAAAAAAAAAAAAAAAGTAACTTTCAGTCTCCAAAAAATATCTGGTACCTGGACCCTTGGCTGCACCTGTATTCAGTCAACCTCTAGTGTTGTAAAACCAGTTGCTGAGGCAGCTGAGATCGTTTCTGTGGTATCAGCATCATTTATAACTGATAAGTATCAAGCAATAAATGGAAATTAAGAAGTGCCATGATTTCATAAAAATGAATAAAAACAAAATTCTAGATAATGCAAATAAGATTTTTTCTGGCTTGTTCGTGTGTGCTAATTATTGCAAACATACTGTTATGTGCTTTGATGATTCTGCTTTTTCCACTGATGAGAATTAACTTCAAAGATAGGGAGAAGACATGAGAAGAAACCTGTTGCTTGTTATAGTATGTACAGAGTCCACTGGAGCTGTTACTAGAAGCACCTTAATTTAATGTTATGGCTTTTGTTCATTTCAGGTCCTGTGCAGAGTCCGATGCAGTACCCTGCTGGCTATGGCTTACATCCTGCAAACTACAGTGTGCCCTCAGGACACTATTCACAAGTGCCCAATAAAGCTGTCTCTCCACATTTGGATAATCAGTAYAGAGCCAGTTATCACTCTACTTACTATTCAGCACCAGCACAAAATGTTATGATACCTCCTGTGGGTACCAACATGTTGAATACACAGGAATCGCAACAACTATACAACAAGACCTCTCCCCCGACAGCCGGCTCAGCAGAAGGACATGTTCAAGGAGCTGTATCATCTGCATCCTACTTACATACCACTGCTCAGCAGTCATATTCAGCATTTGGTAATCACTACAGCACTTCTCTCAGCTCCTCAGTTGCATCTCAGGGATTTCCCMTTAATTCTGACCATTACACTATGCCTGTTGTTTCTAGTCCTATGTATCCTACTGTTTCCTATCCTTCTGCAGCTGTTGACAGTGTGTATGGGCAGGTATGTACCTCTCAGAGCCTATCTGATGTTGGACAGTTTAAACAGACAAATGCATTTTCTAGCCAGAGTCCAGCAGTAGCTCATTCACTTCAGCAGCATCTTCCCGTGGGATATAATTCAACGTTGCCGATTATTTCACCTGCTCAGTCTGTTCAAGACAGCCTCAGCAGAAATCTTGTTGGATCGCTGGCTAAAGCAAACAACCAAATAAGTCCAGGTACAGTATTGAAACTTATGAATGTCTTTTGGAGACTGCAGAAGCCATGTGCTTCTGTTGCTTTTTGTTATTCGCTACATGAATTATGCATTGTAATTTTGACTTCTGTACTTGTTCATCCCTGAAGTTTTTCTCCTTTGTTTACCACAGTCTTTATGGTAGTAGCTAATCAATCTATTAATTGCTGAAGATTTTTCTTTTCTGACTAGAGAATTTTTAAAGTCATGATCTGAGTTGGTTCTTTTGGAAAGGATGGTTCAAAACAGTAGAAGCCTAACTATTTTGTGCAATTAGGGCTTTAAAGATTCATTTCAACTAGTCTCTGAATGAGACACACATTTACATGTTTTTAATTGATTTTGTAAACAATAAACATTTTTAGAAGGGATACAGTAGTAGAGAATGTGGTGGAGGAGTGCCAAATTGGAGGGAAGATATAGTCAGTACTTGCTAATAGCTGCAACTTCTGCTGCTTCTTGAGAAATCTATCCACAAGCCATAGAGGCAGTACTTTGTGACAGGGAATAGAAGAAGTTGAGATGTGGAAGTACATGAACATTGAGATACCTTGCCCAGAGTGTCTGCTACGAGGCAACATTCTGCAAGTAGCTTATGTAAAATAATTCCAGTTGTGATACAGGGAAGAACTTTTTTCAATTCCTTTTTGTCTGTACTGGTAATGTTTCTTATCTCCTCCATTTCTGACTTGTGAACTGTGCTAGACTAGTAGTTTCCCCTTTTATGATGGTACTG